GTTGACTCAGCCTTCCATCCTTCTGAAGTGAGTAAAATGAGGACCCAGATTGTTGAGGGATAATAGGCTGACTCTGTAAACCGCCTAGAGAGGGCTGGAAAGCACTGTGAAGCGGTATATATAAGTCTAAGGGCTATTGCTATTGCTATTCATTGTGTTTCTCAAATATTTGGTCAAATCCGAGCATCAGAACTCCCAGAAGTGTTTTCTGCTTCAGTACTGTCAGCCGAACTTAATTCAGTGGAATAGGAATCTTCAAATAAGAGTTTCAAGGAATCACAGAATCATAGAACTGGAAAGTACCCTGGAGGTCTTCTAGCCTAACCCCCTGCCCAGGCAGGAAGTATGTTTTATTTATTAAATGTATAAACATGTTAGGGTTATTTGATTCCTGAAATCTATACCTTTCATCTCTGATAGACAATTATACGTTTAGTGACCATTTGAAGTTCCAACAGCACTGAAAAAAAAGGCACTTGGGACCGTAGCCACATGATCAAAATTCAGATGCTTGGCAACCGACCCATATTTATGACGGCTGCAATGTCCTGGGGTCACGTGATCCCCCTTTGTGACCTTCCCACAAGCAAAGTGCACGGGGAAATCAGATTCGCTTAATGCTAACTGCGTTACTAACGTAACAACTGCAGTGATTCACTTAACAACTGTGGCAAGGGAGGTCTCAAAATGGGGCAAAACTCACTTAACAACTGTCTTGCTTAGTAGCAGAAATGCCGGGCTGAACTGGGGTCCTAAGGCTACCTGTATGGTACAATTTCGATTAAAAGTAATTATCTACTTCTGCAAGGAAATCATTTCTGTACTCTAGAAGGGGAGCTAATTTCTGCCTCAGGTAGGGCTGGTTGGGAGAAAACCAGGATGTTTCAGAGGCAAGCAGGGAATGAAGAGTCAGAGAGGTTATTATTAAATTATTATTATTAAATTTATTGGCCGCCTATCTCGTGGTTTGAGGCGATTCTGCTTTCCCCTTCCTGGCATCATTATTTCACCAATGAGTCTTCCAAAGGTAATGCAGATAGGATGACAAACTGCAACAGGGAGGTTGCCTCCCCACCCAGGATGACCCAGCTAATATAAATAGAAGAACTAAATATGAATATTTATTCCTTTCCTTCCGGGATGCATGCACTCTGGGTTTTCTGGGTGAAGCTGTTTACGTCCTCAGCTTCTGCAGAAAAAATTTGCTTCTTGACTTGGCAGATTCATAAAAGGAAGTTCACTGTTTTCTTGAGCACGTGGCTATTGCTTGGTGCAAATGACAGATTTAGTTGAGCAACAATACCCTTCCTTGGGGTATTGGTTCTGTCGAGAACTCGACACCCTGTTTGAAATTCTCTAGCTCTCTCATTCAATGCTCAATTTTTAGATCTTCTAGGTATGTTTGGGGCATTTTTAAGAGTGGATATAGCTTCCTACTAAAGCCCCCTCTGTCCATCCCACCCTAAAAGACTACAAGGGACAGGAAAAAGCCCTTCCAGTGAAATTATGGTTTTACCAGTACATGATCATGATCTTCAACTCTCCCCACCAGTATCCCACCAGTATAGTCAATGGGGAAGCCTGCAGGGTCCTCATTTAGCGATCTGTGTAGTCCCCGTTAACAATAACAACCTGCCTAAGTGGCCTGGTCAGGTGGTTTTTCCACTTACAACCTTGATGTTGTAAGCAGTGGAGTTTCCAGTCCCAATTAGGGTCATTAAATGAGGACTATATATACTGTACCAAGAGTAACCCCAAATACCAAAACTGATTTCCAAGTTCACAAGGAGTTAAAACTTTGAATAGATTAGAATTTGTTCATGAAGACAATTTCCTTCACTTTTACAGACACATTTTCCGTGCGATTTTTCCTTTTGCTGGATTTTTCCTTTTAAATCCAGATCATCAAGTTGTATTTCATCTTAAGAAATATTCTTTCACCCCAAAGATTTCAAACTTTTTGTTGTAATAAAGCTTTTCCAAAGTACTAAGAATAATGGAAGACAATCTGCTAAGCGTTTAAAAGATTAATTTGTACACGGACTGGCAAAAACAAATTGCTGAGGCGACCAATATGTCTTTGTCATTCACTAATGCACTGTTCCTGTAGAGCAAAGCAGTAAAAGAAAACAAACAGATAACAGTCTTTACATGAACATTTATCCTCTAATTCTAGTTCAGCATGAAACTATTAAGAAAAGGGCCAATTATTCTCTCAATCTCACTTTAAAGCTAATGCCAGTTTATCAGTCTCTCAATCTCAGTTTAAAGCTAATGCCAGTTTATTTTACAAGGCTATTGCAACAACATGAAATGGATTACAAGCACATGCGAAATAATTATACAGTATTTACTAAATGCAATTTGCCTCTATGAGAGATCTAATATCCAAAGATTAAATGCTTAGCTTCAAAACAATGCTTTTTTTGCGGACTCAATTTGCAGATTCAACTGTACGTTTTTCTACTGCTGAGTAAACAAGGGACATGCGTGCAAATATGAACCTTAATTCCCTCCTCTGATAAATAATTTAGCAAACCCAAGAAAATTCATTTAAAAGTCTGCCCTCTGAATTACGTATTATCAAAAAATAAATAAAAGCCAGCAAACAAAGCTCTCCCAATACTTACTGTGAAATGGTGTTTGTATCTAGGTCAACACAGCTAACATCTGGAGGAGGGTCATAAAGATCAAAATATCTGGAATCAATTCCCACTATGAATGGACACGGTGCGCTCAGAACATCCGCCAGGGCGAGAGGGCAGAGAGGAATGTACGGGCAGGGCCAGTGGAAAGGAAATATCATCTTTCAAAAGAGAAGAACAAACATGTTGAATGCAGATAGCCAGATGTGCTTCAAGAAAAACAGGGTGGACAACCTGTAACTCTTGAACTAATTTCAACCCATCCAAAAGAGATGATTTAGACCAGAGGTCTCCAACCTTGGGCCACTTTAAGACCTGTGGACTTCAACTCCTAGAATTCTGGGAGTTGAAGTCCACAAATCTTAAAGTGGCCAAGGTTGGAGACCCCTGCCCAAGAGAACATGTTCTAATGAATGTCTATAGAGGTCCTCAGGCATCCAGGTCATGGTTGTCCCATAGGTGCTTTTTCAAAAGGCAATTAGACTTCATTCAAGCTTTTCCTTGAATATGTTTCGCTTCTCATCCAAGAAGCTTCTTCCGTTCTGACCTGACCTTCAGTCAGAACAGAAGAAGCTTCTTGGATGAGAAGTGAAAGGTCTTCAAGGGAAAACAGAGTCCAGTTGCCTTTTGAAAAAGCACATTTGGGATGTTCTACTGAAGAAAAAGAGGGTCTCAGACAATAAGCAGCTCAAAGGATCTATACATTCTTGTTATTAGGAGATAGCTCATTCATTTGACTGATTGTACCTATTGATCCACGACCGAAATAAAGTAGAATCTGTCTGATTCTGCTCAATCCTTCATGGGGACTAGTCTATCATACCTGGGAAAAGATGTTTCTTGACAAAAAAAGGTTGTCTGCCTCTGAAGAAAAGGGAACACTCAGTAACCATGTTCTACTTTCAGTACTAGCCATTCCTTCTTTTTAAAATATTAATTAGGCCAATGGATAGATACAATTGGGAAGTTCTCATCAATAAAGCACTTGAAATGATAGTATTACTAATAACCCATGATTATCGATTGATATATGACATTTATACCTGACTTTTCATCCACAGAGGATGTTTTATTTATCTCTTGTTAATGTGTATGAAATGGAGAACCTTTGACAAAGGACAGTGCTAATGACCTGAACTAGATGAATAGTACGGCGGCGCCATCTGTACAAACATCCTCGGGAGATAAAAGCAGAACAAATAAAATGTTTAAAAGATGACACTCAGCGTGAAATGGAGGGCAGGGGGGGGGGGGCTTTGTGCTAGCTCAGTGGAATTTTTGACTTCATTCCTTTGAACAACGGGCTGCCTTACCCCACTCCACAAATGGGTGTTTGGGCCTCGTGCTCAGTTTGATCTGCAGCTGAGCAAAACACTCTCAAATCCACCAGCCAAAGAATTTGGCAAACAGCTGTGGATCCTAGACCAGGGAGCAAAGGCCCATCAGGACATCCGAATGACAGAATTGGAGATCTTTTGTCCAACCAAGCAGGAGACCTTATACCGGGGGTCTCAAAATCTGGCAACTTTTAAGACTGGCAACCGGCTCCTGAAGGATGATACATTAATAATATAATATGACGTGGAAAGTCGATAATGTAATATGTAAACTTTAAAGAGGAAAAGACTTTGTGCACAAGAAATATGTACCAACTGACACACTGTATAATTGAAAGGTTTTATTTGTTGTTTTATGTTTATGTTTATCTATGTTTGTTGTTAAAAATAAAAAAAAGACTGGTAGACTTCAACTCCCAGAATTGCTCAGCATAGCTGACTGAGGAATTCTGGGAGTTGAAGTCCACCAGTCTTAAAGTTGCCAAGTTTGGGGACCCCTGCCCTATACAACTCCGGATAAATGGTTGTCCAATTTCTTCTTAAAAACCTCCAATGTTGGAGCATCCACCACTTCTGAGGACAAGCTGCTCCACAGATTAATTGTTCTCCCCATCAGGAAATGTTTCCTTCCTTCTAGGTTGGATCCCACTTTAATGAGCTTCTACCTATTATTTCTTCTCCTGCCTTCTGGCACTTTGGAGAAAAGATTGACCCCTTTGGGGCAGCCCCTCAAATATTGGAAGACTGCTATCACATCCCCCCCAGTCCTTAGACTAGACATACCTCGTTCATGCAATCATTTATCGTTACCAGATCCACAAATCCTATTAGGCCCCAAATCCTCTATAGCCCATGTCAAATTTAAATAAAATAGAACAGGTAGTCCTTGACCTACCACCAAAATTTCCATGGTTAAGCAAGACAGTTGTTAAAACAGGCTGGGTGTCATTTTTACGACCTTTTTGCCACAGTTTTAAAGTGTATTACTATAGTTGTTAAGTGAATTATGAGGGGGTTTTTAAAAAAACAAATCTGGCTTTCCCCATCGACTACGCTTGTGAGAAGGTCGCAAAAGGAGATTTAGAATTTAGAATAGAATAGAGCTGGAAAGGATCTTAGAGATCTTCTAGTCCAGCCCCCTGCACAAGTAGAGGAAACTATACTATTTCAGACAAGTGACTGTCTAGCCTCGCCTTAAAAACCTCCAGTGATGGCGCGTCCATGTTTTCTGAAGGCAAAGCTGTTCCACTGGTTAATTGTCCTCACTCTTAGGAAGTTTCTCCTTAATGCCAGATTGCTTCTCTCTTTGATTAGTTTCCATCCATTGTTTCTTGTCTTGCCTTCAGATGCTTTGGAGAATAATTTAACCCCCTCTTCTTTGTGGCAGCCCCCCCAAATACTGAAATACTGCTATCACGTCCCCCCTAATTCTTCTTTTCTTCAGACTAGCCAGACCCCAAACCCGCAGCAGTTCTTCATGTTTCAGTCTCCAGGCCTTTGATCATCTTAGTTGCTCTTCTCTGAACTTTTTCCAAGGTCTCAACATCTTTTTTATAGAACGGTGACCAAAATGGGTTGCACTATTCCAAGTGTGGCCTTACTAGGGTTTTATAAAGCGGCATTAATATTTCACGTGATCTTGATTCTATGCCTCTGTTTTATACAACCCAGGATTGTATTAGCTTTTTTGGCGGCGGCTGCACATGATCCTGGAATGCTGCAACCATCATGAATATGAATCAGTGGCCAAGCACCTGAATTTTGATCATGTGACCATGGGGAGGCTGCAACAGCCGTAAGTGTGACAACTGGTCATAAGTCTCTCTTTCTTTTTTTTCCAGTGTCCTTGTAATGGTCACTAAACAAAGGGTTGCAAGTCAAGGACTACCTTTTATAAATTATAAAAATTGATTTTAGAACCCTGAACTTTAAAAGATATTTTACAGCCAGTTAATTTGGGGTATGTGCGTGTGTGGTTTTCTGTTCATCTTAATTGTAAAACACTTATTTGAGAAATAATCACAACTTACAGAGACCAGAGCTTCGGTTACGCTGGTGAGGACCGAAGGGCGTAAAGAGTGAATGAGGATTTTATGTTCTGTCACCGCAAAGACTAGAAGATTTACAGCATTCTCAGGTCCCAGATTCTGCAGAAGAGCAGAAAACTTCCCTCCGCTATTAATCAAAGAAAAAGGAACAGGAATAAATACCACAAACGGCATCTTTTTTCCCCCAGGAATTGAACCACGTTTCTCCCCAATGTTAGCCCAGCATCGAATGACTCAGCACAAGAGTATTCAATTACTAGTCTGAGTAATGCTAAAATTACACAGCACAAAATAGATTAAAAGCAGTTTTTCCATTTGACGCTCCATTAACTTTTAAATAAAGTTGTAGAGTGAAGTTTGCGAATTAACATGTGCGCACAGACGTGGTTCACTGCAAACAAGTCATTCGAGATCAAACAAACCAGACATGATGGAACCCTTCTCACGTGCTCTGAACCTGGTTTCAATCTTTCCTGCTTTCAAAATAACTTTAGGATTCACAAACCAAGAACAAATTGTCATCTAGCTTTCACTGGTTTCCTCAGCTTGACTGGAAAGTCACACTTCCCATTTTTTTTAGTGTGTTTGACCTCCTTTCCTGGAGAAAAACCGCAAACCAGAAATTGTTTTTCGTAATGTTTATTTATTTATTTGCTTCCTTAATACATCTGTCAACTGCCCCCATCCTACAGCTCTGAGTAATCTACCACAAAATGAAACAAACCGGAAACGATAAAGCAGCATTTCCCCTAGTGGGCCATTTTGGGATTGTGGACTTCAGTTCCCAGAATTCCACCGCCAGCATGGCCGGCAAGAAGAATTCTGACAATTATAATATATAAGGTTTGTTATTTGTATTTAAAAGAAATTGTACCCAGACAGTACACTGCCATTGTGGATATGGAAATTATATATATAGTAATGGAAATTGCACAATAAAAAAAAATAATACAAGAAGAAGAAGAAGAAGAAGAAGAAGAAGAAGAAGAAGAAGAAGAAGAAGAAGAAGAAGAAGAAGAAGAAGAAGAAGAAGAAGAAGAAGAAGAAGAAGAGGAGGAGGGAAGGGGGAAAGGGAAGAAGAAGGGGAAGGGAAAGGGGAGGAAGAAGGGGAAGAAGAAGAAGAAGAAGAAGGAGGAGGAGGAGGAGGAGGAGGAGGAGGAGAAGAAGAAGAAGAAGAAGAAGAAGAAGAAGAAGAAGAAGAAGAAGAAGAAGAAGAAGAAGAAGAAGAAGAAGAGGAGGAGGGAAGGGGGAAAGGGAAGAAGAAGGGGAAGGGAAAGGGGAGGAAGAAGGGGAAGAAGAAGAAGAAGAAGAAGGAGGAGGAGGAGGAGGAGGAGGAGGAGGAGAAGAAGAAGAAGAAGAAGAAGAAGAAGAAGAAGAAGAAGAAGAAG